GAGGCCCCGGCCGAGGTGCGGGTGCGCACCGGGTAGCGCAGCGGAGGCCCCGGGGCGCTGGGGGAGGTCAGGCACCCTTATCGCGTGGCGTCCTGCACTTTTAGCAGGTGGTGCTGGTTGGGGGCCTGGTGGTAACGCTCCGAACTGAAACTCGCTTTGTGCCCTCAGCCCTGCAGCTCACGGGTGCCCATGACCTGTCCGCCGGCTCCTGTGCCTTTGAAGAGGGCACGTGTGGCTTCGACTCGGTGTTTGCGTTTCTGCCTTGGATTTTAAATGAGGAAGGTAAGGGGCTCCACGAAGAGGGCCCAGGTGAACTTTCCTCCCTGTTGGTTGCCTCTCCCACCCCGCCCCGTCGCCCCTCAGCACTTGGACAGTGTTATCTTGGAGTTAATTCTTCTCCGAGGCGAAGTATGAACCATGGTCAGCCTTCCACCCTCTGCGGAGCTGCAGGACGGCCCAGGCAGAGAAGGGGCGGATGGCCTTTGTGTACCTGGCCATGGGTGGGAGCTCGGAGCGCCGCCACCTCCAGGCACTCTGGTGAGAGGGAGAAGGCCACCCGTCAGCCCCGCTGGTCCTCAGACACCTGTGAGAGCGGGAAAGCTGGCCTGTACTCCTTATCCAGCTTGGCAGAAAAGTCTCCCCCTTTCAAAAGTGAGACCTCAGCACGCAGACCCGCTCCTTACCCCATTGCAGAGTAGTCGTTCTGCTGCCTGGTTTCATCCTTCTCCTTGCCCTCCTCTGTACATCCAATCCTGGACAAAAGAGGAAACTCCAACTTGGCTGTCTGACCTTGTGCAGCCTGAGGGCACTGGTCATTGCTTTGCTACTCCCCGTGTTTGGGTTCCAGTGGCAGAATTTAGATGTAGGGGAGTCGGGTTACTTCTCACCCTTCATTTTCCTAGGGGGTAAAAATTGGCTCCTGGTGCCCAACTGCACCTCTCCATTCTTTTCGCATTTGCTTCACTGCCATTTAGGAGCCCAGTGCACATTGGAGAACATTTCAGAACTTCTGTGGGTACTAACAGCCCACTGTAGGCGTGCCATACGTGTGCCACCACTAGACCACTTGGACTGCAAAGCAGCCTCTGTTAAGAAACAGCACTGGATGTGAATGATGCTAAGCTCCTGCCTCAATCAGGTGTCCCCACTTCATCCAGTCTGGCTCCCTGGTGAAGAATAGAGCCCAGAGTGCCTGGTTAGGATGTATAAACTGCCACTACAGTTCAGTTTGCCAAGACTTCCTTTTAGTTTCTCTGACCCTCATGGGTAGGTGACATTCGTATCGTTTTGCGGAGGTGAGAAGCTGAGTCTCCAAGTATTCAAATGGCTGGTCTGTGTCACATGGTGTCAATGAGTAGCCAGCCCTGGGCTGTCCACTTTCTGGAAGAACAGGAAGGAACTAATTCAGTAGTTAACTTTATATCCAACACTTGCCACCACTTAACATCTACAGTTTACTTGAAGGTATCTGGGGAAAAAAACAGTTCTTGATTTATTGTCAGAGGGATTCCTGCCTGACTCACAACTTTAGGAAAGGCCCTTTAACTTTACCACCCCGGCCCTTTCCCTGTCATGTGCAGAGCATTTGGAGAGACAGCGTTTTATATATATATCATGGGACTGGCTTTGGAATGTGTTTTTCTTTAGCAGAGCTTCTCAGACTTCAGCTGCAACAGAATAATCTGGTGGGCTTGTTAGTCTTTGAGTTTCTCATTTGATGAGTGTGAAGTAGGCTAGAGGATTTCCTGCAAGTTACCAGGTGATGCTGCTGCTGCTGCTACTGGTCAAGGGACTACACTTTAAGGACTCTAAACTCCCATAATATGTTTTTACACATACATGCAAGCACACACACACACACACACACACACACACACACACACACACATATCTGTGCTGTGGGCCTGAAGCAGGGCCAGGACTAGGGAACCACATGCATGATCCTGAGCGTGAATCACTCATTAAATCATGTGTCCTAGGCTCCTGGCACGTCTCCCTTTGGTGTGGCCCTGAAAAAAAGAAATAAGCATCACTCTTGAGATTAAGCACCTGAAATCCAGGGCCCCACTGCCCCAGTCCTCTGTCAGGACACCTCCTGCTAGCCTGCCTCTGGGTCAGTGGGCATGCCACAGCCTGCTGAGCGCCAGATCCTGCCAGGCCTGCAGGAAGTGCTGCGCTGAACTGGCACCTCCTCACCAGTGTGGCCGTTAAACAGCCCTTAAGGGAAAACAGGAAGATGCTTATAGGGAAGGGAGATGACAGTTTAACAGTATAATGGAGGCACTGTGGCTTTCCCTTCTGCTTTAACAGCCATTGCTTTCTGGCTCTGGACTGGGACCACTGGCTTGGCTTGGCTGGGGGAAGTTCATTCATTCTCCGAGCCCTCTAGGTTGAGGCAGGCAGCTTAGGCTTCTGTCGTTGCAGATCTAGTTTTCCAAAGGCCAGGACTTGGGCATAATAGTCCACTGTGGACTCGGGGGCAGAGAGATAAATTTGTGCCAATTACTGTGGCTGCTGGCTGAGAAGCTATCAGTAAGAATTTCCCTTATAAATCCATTTCTAGGCTGGTAAATTAAAGATAATAAAATTGTCGTAGGCTGAAATTTGGCAAGCTGATTTGACCTCTGTAAAATTACTTCATCTTGCAGCAAAATCCTTTTGAAACAGGTTCTGTCCACCTACATGTGCTGGACCCACCATAGAAAGTTGTTCATTTCAGAGGCTTTTACCCACAAGTACTTGGAAGACAACTGGCACTTCCAGTATGGCCTTTGTCACTAGGGTAATATATTGTAGAGCGAGCAATGCTGGAGCCCAGTAAAGGAAGGTAAGTCGAAACTAATTTGTAAGTTCAAATTTTTATCACAGGAGGGTCAAATCTTGGGGTAGTTGGTGTAGTTCCTATGGCTCAAATATCTCCCCTGCTGCCTGAAATTATATTTGAGGGCTATCCCTTTGGTTTTTCTAGAGCAACAGATCTCTAAGCATCTCTGATTCAGTTCCAATGTCCCCTCGTTCGTAGCTATTTTGAAATATGTTCTTTCTCCATGGGGCATAGAATAGGTGACTTCTGACCAAAGCGGTGTGTGACTTGGGTCGTGCCCCACAGTGGAAGGTGCCCTCAGGGAAAGGTAGCTGTGCTGGGCCAGGTAACCAACTACTGCAATCCAGTCTGGCCTTCTTTCTAGTTTTGCCAACAGTTACTATATATTCCTGGTTCCCTCAATGCTTTGTGTAGGAAAAAGAAATCCTAACTTGTCAAAGGAAGTAACATTATATATGCCAGACTCAAATTCAAACCCACTTCTGAATCTTAGGTTAGAATTAAATCCAAGAAATAAGGGATCCATTTTATCTCATATAAATCTTTTTTATTCATTGATTTTTTTCCTTTAATAAAAATCATCTGTATTTCCATTCACACTTCAGAGAATATTGGAACCCCTTTGAGCAATGGTCCCCTGCTAAAGTTGAAACTGTTTGTTCTATTTTCTTCATACCAGCTGCAGGGGCAGGGAACACTGGCTGAGGAGTATTAGAGTTAGTCTTATAATTCAAATTAGTGATTGAGTGGATTTCGGCTTCTCATTCTTGGACATTGTGGCTTAGTACCTGTAACTGTTGCTCTATAAGGAAGCCATTGGAGGAAATGAGCAAGGGAGGCAGGTAAAAATAAAGCCAGGTACAGCTCTTTAATTAGAAGTCCAGAGCCAAGTATGGTGGAACCCCAGCACTCTGGGAGGCAGAGGCAGGAGGACTGAAAGTTTGAGCCTCTGTTGGGCAACCTAATGACTTAGCATAAGCCTGTCTCAAAATAAAAAATGGTGGGGATGTGACTCCTTGTGTAGGCCCTGGATTCAATCCCTAGTACCACCATCAAAAAATCAAAAAAGTTCAAAGCACTGAGTTATCTGGGTGGGAAAGGTAAATGTGGAATTGGGTCCGGTTAAAAGGAGGTTAAAAAAAATTCAAGCCAGGTGTGGTGGCGGTACACCTGTAATCTCAGCACTTGAGAGGCTGAAGCAGGAGGATTCCTTCAAGTTCAAGGCCAGCCTGAACTACATAGTGAGTTCAAGGCCAGCCTAAACTGTGTAGTGAGGCTCTGTCTCAAAAAACAAAAGAACAAAAACAAAAAAATTCAAAGCACTTTTTGTAGGGGAGACCTTTTTCATGCAATAGGAATCAGGGTTGGTGAAACTGCCTGAAACAGGAAACATTTGGACAGTTTCTTGCTGAAAGCAAGAGATCCTATGCAAGGTAGAAAGGCAAGCCAGGGGACATGGGAGAGGATGCCAAAAATCTCATTGTCAGTCCACGGGTGCACCCCTTTCCCTCCCTCAAACTCATCTCTCTCTGTTACAGACCCTTAAGAGTGTCCTCAAACCTCAAATGGTGGCTCAGTCATCTGAGTTTCAGTTCTGTGTACTTGGTCATGGGCCAGTTATTATTAACAGTGCTAAATCCCTCCTGCCATTTCCTGAGGTCCAGCTGGAGCCAAACACTGGCTAGGAGCCTGAGGGACCTTCCCAGGAGAGCAGGGTCAGTGCTCCCCTTCCTGAGATGGTGGCTGTATTTCTGACTTTGGAGGGCTGCTTCGGCACCCCACCCTGACATAAGCTTCGTAAGACAGTTCCTGTCGCCCTTATCAGGACCTGTGAGGTTACTGTCTCGGAGCTCTCCAAACAGAAGAGTACCCCTATTACACAGAGGCTGGAAGCCAGCACAAGTCTGGAATGTTCCTTGGATGCCTCTCAGAGCTGTACTGACCCCAGAAATTTGGCTACATCATTCCTGAAGTATGGTGTGCGGTTCCCTGGCTCTGTCCTGATATTACTGCTGTGAGGTTGAACGTCTCTCTGGCATGGCAATCACTGAGAGTAATAGTGGGTCTGCCCTGGCTCCACCAGGAGCTCTGATCCTAGTGCTGGGCCCTCAGGGTCATCCAGTGCCTGTGCCTCCTTTCACGGAGAACTACATGAAGGCCCAGACAGCTGCTAGTCATGGTTGTGGACCAAGGGACTGACAGCCCCAGGGCAGGACCTTCTCCTCGACTCCACTAATTCTTTGCTCTGCATTGCTCCTGCCATCCCTGACTTTGCAGAGTTTTGGCTTCTGCAGCCTATGTTGGAAAGTCAATCTTACAGATCTAATTATATCTCAGACATGGGCAAGAGTGTGGATCCCAAAAACTCAGTGCATCAGGCTGTCCAAACCCGTAAAGCACCACTGTTGATGCCATACTGAGTAGCATTCATTTGTTATTCTGGAAGTGTAGGGATCAT